TGAAATTGTTGTGATATTCAATTGGAATATAACTTTTGTTGGAATTTTTCTTTAAAATTTCAATCATTATCCTATAGTGTTCCTAGTTCTCTCTTTCAAACCAGATTTTTGTTAGAATTCAATAGGCCACTTGAATAAGTCTTGTCTTTTATTTGATTAAGTCAGAGTTTGGTTTAGTTGTTATTTTATCTCCTAATTAGTAGCTGCAAGTTAGTATAGATAATGTCCTATTTTTATGCATTCGGTTTGGCTGTACTACTGCCTATTTAAAGGCTATTTTTGGTGAATAAAGTATGTGATAAATTCTCTCATTTTGTGTGCTATTAGAATTTTTAACAGTGGCATCAGAGCCAGTACGAAAAAAAAAAATATATATAGAGAGAGAATCAGCAAAGAGAAATTAGTCCATCCCATCTCCACTTTGTTTTCTTGTTGCAGCAGCAATATTCTCATGGCAGGAGATAATTTTGTTCAACCAGCCATTCCACGTTTTGATGGTCATTATGATCATTGGAGTATGCTCATGGAGAATTTCTTAAGATCGAAAGAATATTGGCATGTGGTTTACAATGGGGTGCCAGACCCAGCAGCTGGCACAGTGATGACAGATGCCCAGAAGACAGAATTAGAAGGGCAAAAATTGAAAGATCTCAAGGCAAAAAATTATCTTTTCCAGGCAATCGATCGTTCGGTTCTAGAGACAATCCTCAACAAAGACACTTCAAAGCAGATATGGGACTCCATGAAAAAGAAGTACCAAGGTACAACAAGAGCAAAGAGGCAGCAGCTACAAGCTCTTCGTTCAGAATTTGAAACGCTTCGAATGAAAACTGGAGAGTCCATCAGTGATTATTTCTCACGGACAATGGCAATTGTCAACAAGATGCGGATTCATGGTGACAAGACTGAGGATGTCACAATTGTCGAAAAGATTCTTCGGTCGTTAACACCAAAGTTTAACTTCGTTGTGTGTTCTATCGAAGAATCTCACGATATCGATGAGCTATCGATTGATGAATTGCAAAGTTCCTTGTTAATTCATGAGCACAGATTTGATCAGCAGGAAAATGAGAAAAATGAGAAAGAAGAACAAGTTCTAAAAGTCTCAATGGAGAATTATGGAAACAGATCAGCAGATCGTGGTAGAGACAGAGGTAGAGGAAGAAGAGCTCAAAATAACAGAGATGGAGGTGGAGGACGAGGAGTTGGGGGCAGACAATTTCAGAAATTTAATTCAGACAACAATCTGCCATTTTCTCAAGGTCGAGGGAGAGGACGTTATCATGACAAGTCGAATGTAGAGTGTCATCGATGTCATAAATATGGCCATTATCGATTTGAATGTTGTACGAAACTACCTCAAGATAAAGGAAAGGAGAAATCGAATTATGCTGAGAAGAATGAAGATGAAACTTTATTGATGACGGTCCATGATGGCAAGAACAAGCATGAAGCTAACATATGGTACCTTGATACAGGCTGCAGTAACCATATGTGTGGAAGTAAGTCATTCTTTTCTTACTTAAATGAGGATTACCGCACGACTGTGAGTTTTGGTGATAACTCCAAAATAGATGTTATGGGAAAAGGAGATGTTCACATCAGGACCAACAATGACAATGTCGAAATAATGTCAAATGTGTTTTATGTCCCTGGTTTAAAAAGCAATCTGCTGAGCCTTGGGCAACTGCAAGAAAAGGGATACACGGTGACAATCAAGAATGGTGCGTGTGAAATCTATGATTCCAAGAGAGGCCTTATTGCTCAAGCCGAAATGACATCAAACCGGTTGTTTCCGCTGCAAATTAGGACTATTCAGTGTTATTCAACAACCAGTGATGATCCAATGTGGCTTTGGCATTTTCGTTACGGCCATTTAAATTTTAATGGCCTGAAGACACTTCATCAGAAAAATATGGTTATCGGTCTTCCTCAAATAACTCCTCCCGAAAAGGTGTGTGAAGATTGCATCATTGGCAAGCAGCATAGGGAGAAATTTCCTCAAGAAAAATCTTGGAGGGCAAAGAAAATCCTTGAATTGGTGCATTCTGACATTTGCGGGCCAATAAACCCATGCTCTAATGGAGGTAAAAAATACTTTCTTACCTTCACTGATGATTATAGTCGAAAAACTTGGGTTTATTTTCTTCAAGAGAAGTCAGAAGCTTTTAGCATGTTTAAACTATTCAAGGCACATGTCGAGAATGAAACAGATGAAACCATTAAAATTCTTCGAACTGATCGTGGTGGTGAGTATTGCTCGAAAGAATTTTCTCATTTTTGTGATGTACAAGGCATTCGCAAGGAGCTTACTGCTACTTATACACCACAACAAAATGGTGTATCAGAGAGGAAAAATCGTACCATTCTTAATATGGTAAGAAGTTTAATGGCAAGAGGAAAAATCCCAAAATCCTTTTGGCCAGAGGCAATAAATTGGAGTATTCATGTGTTGAATAGAAGTCCCACATTTTCCGTTCGAAACATGACACCAGAGGAGGCATGGAATGGGCGTAAACCAGTTGTTGATCACTTTAGAATATTTGGGTGCATAACATATGCACATGTCCCAGATCAGAAGAGGAAGAAACTCGACGACAAAAGTGAAAAGTGTGTTTTTCTTGGTATAGCTGAAGCATCCAAGGCGTACAAGCTATATAATCCAGTCACGAAGAAAATTGTGACTAGTCGAGATGTTGTTTTTGATGAAGAAAGCACTTGGAATTGGAAGGACGAACAACCAGATAAGACCATTCTTGATGGAGAAATTGATGAACATTACCAATCTCAACAGCAACCAATTTCCAGTCATGAAATTTCGCCAAATGAACCTGTAGTAAGTGGCGAAAGTGTACCAGCAGCAACTGAATCTCGCACTCGTCGTATTCGAACGAGGCCAGCATGGATGCAAGATTATGAGGTTAGTGGTATTCAATCAGTTGGTAATGATATTGCTCACTATGCTTTCTTATCGGATTGCGATCCTATTACATTTCAAGAGGCTGTAAATTGTTCGGAATGGAAAATAGCAATGAATGAAGAAATTGAGTCCATCGAAAAAAATCATAGCTGGGAGCTCGTCGAACTTCCAAAGGGGCAGAAATCCATTGGTGTTAAATGGGTTTATAAAACAAAATTAAACAAAGATGGCGGGGTTGAAAGGTATAAAGCTCGACTCGTAGCCAAAGGATATGAGCAGAAGCCTGGCGTTGATTTCAAAGAAGTGTTTGCCCCTGTAGCAAGGTTGGTTACTGTTCGTCTGATGTTATCTATGGCAGCCCGACATTCTTGGTTAGTCCATCAATTCGACGTGAAGTCTGCATTTCTACACGGAGAGTTGAAAGAGGAAGTGTACATTGACCAACCTCCTGGTTATGTGAAGAAGGGTTGTGAAAATCAGGTATACAAGTTAAAAAAGGCACTATACGGGCTAAAACAAGCGCCGAGAGCATGGTATAGTCGTATAGATGCTTACTTTACCAAGGAAGGTTTCGTCAAATGTCCATACGAGCACACTCTTTATACAAAACATGGTGATGATAAAAAGGTATTGATTGTGTGCTTATATGTGGATGATCTTATTTATACCAGTAGTGACCAAGTTATGCTGGTGAGTTTTAAGAAATCTATGATGGAAGAATTTGATATGACGGATTTGGGTTTAATGCATTATTTCCTTGGTATTGAGGTGCTCCAAATGTCTGATGGTATTTTTATTTCTCAAAAGAAATATATATCAGAAATCTTGGACAGGTTCATGATGAGGGACTGTAATCCAGTCACTACCCCCAGTGAAGTTGGTCTAAAACTCTCAAAGAATGATACTGGAAAAAGGGTGGATTCAACTATGTACAAGCAAGTAGTAGGGAGCCTTTGGTATTTGACTTCTACAAGACCTGACATAATGCATGCGGTCAATCTTATCAGTAGATACATGGAGAATCCAACTGAAATTCATCTTTTGGCTGCAAAGAGGATTTTTCGTTACTTAAAAGGCACTGCGGATTTTGGCATTCTGTACAGAACAAGTGCAGACACTAAACTCATTGGGTTTTCTGATAGTGACTATGCTGGGGATCCTGATGATAGGAAGAGCACTTCTGGATCAGTATTTTTACTAAATTCAGGGGCTGTCACATGGTCTTCTAAGAAACAACCAATTGTGACTTTGTCAACCACCGAAGCTGTATTTGTGGCTGCAGCAACATGTTCCTGTCAAGCTATTTGGTTGCGAAGATTGCTTGATGTGTTGCATAATCAGCAACAAAGGCCAACTCTCATTTATTGTGATAGTAGTTCTGCTATAAAACTCTCAAAAAATCCGGTTCTACATGGGCGAAGCAAACATATCGATGTCAGGTATCACTTTTTGCGAGAATTATGTAATGATGAAGTTTTTGAGTTGGTATTTTGCAGAAGTGAAGACCAGGTGGCAGATATTATGACCAAGCCCCTCAAACCGGTGGTTTTTATGAGGCTTCGAGACATGTTAGGAGTTTGCTCTTTAGCAGAGGCTGGAACTACTTAGGAAGTCATTATAAAGGGATCACTAAACTGATTTCTGCAGATATCAGTTTAAGGGAGGGTGTTAGAATTCAATAGGTCACTTGAATAAGTCTTGTCTTTTATTTGATTAAGTCAGAGTTTGGTTTAGTTGTTATTTTATCTCCTAATTAGTAGCTGCAAGTTAGTATAGATAATGTCCTATTTTTATGCATTCGGTTTGGCTGTACTACTGCCTATTTAAAGGCTATTTTTAGTGAATAAAGTATGTGATAAATTCTCTCATTTTGTGTGCTATTAGAATTTTTAACAATTTTAAGTACTTACAAGAAAAAACAATTTAAAACTACAAAAAGGAAAAATAAAAATAAAAATCAACAATCAAGTAATTGCTTGAATTTTTTTTTCCCTTCAAAAATTTATTTTCCAATTCATATATCATATCAATTAACACAAACCTAATTTCACCAAACTTGTTTATAGAATAGTATAATTTGTTACTCCCAATCAAATCTTTTCTTAAAGGACAAGTAAATCCCATCAGTTTCTGCTACCCAATAGCAATGATGATCAATACAAGGCTTTCCATACCACCATGAAGCCTTGTATGCATCAAAGGACTTGCCCTTATCACCCCATTGAAACCGGCAATGAAACAAAGTCGAGAAAGGTTTCAAGCAAAAAACGATGCGAAACTCTTGCTTGTAATTCAGCGTATGTGTTCCGAGATCGTCATCTTTGGACATGCAGTGCACGAGTAACGGTGTTGAAGGGGTATTGATGTCATTGTATATATCAATCTGGACTCGAGTGAACCAGAAGCAGCTGGACCCGAACTGGAAAAGATATACGCAAAGTATCAAACATGTTAGTAGATGTTTTGTTGTCATGTTGATGAATAAAAAAAAAAAAAACTAGTGCTTGTGTAAAAGAATTGGTTTGATCATGTGGTTGATTTATGGAGTGTTGTGCTTATTTTTGTAATTTTTTTCTTTTTTTTATTTTTATTTTTTTTTGCCCATTGTTATTTATAAATTGAGGAACCATAATTATGAGGTAAATTATGAGCTTTGCAATCTGATTGCGATTTTTTATTCGTATGATTTTTGCAATCTGGATTTAGTTTTTATTTATTTATTTTCCTAGTTGCAATCTGATTGTGTTTTACTTTGAAGTTTGAACATTTAACCAATTGGAATTATAATTTTTTAATTACATAATTTCATATGTATTGATTCAAAAATTTGTTGAGTTTAAGGGTAGATCTGCACATTTCATATGCTTATTTGACAAAATATGGGTTCTGTTTGGATATTAGCGGTTTAGGAGGGTGTATTCATTAGTAATTATTAAATATTTGTTGGGACATCAAAAATTTTAGTGTATTTAATTTGAATTTCTTAAAACTTTTAAAATCTCTATTTATCCAATTGAGACCTCAAAAAGTCTTAACACATCACGAGATACTTTAATTTATTTGACACTGAAAATTGTGTATTCGTTTAAGATTACAAAAAACTTTCTAAGATTTTAGAAATTCTGATGTATTTAATTTAGACTTCTTAAGACTTTTAAAAGTCTCGAGGTCTTCATTTGAGATTTTAAAAAGTCTTAAAAAATCCTCAGTTATTTAACTTAAATTGAGATTGAGATTTGTTAAGACTCTTTAAGATTTGTTGTGAGTTCAGGAGAAAAACCTTACACAAACTCTCACTTCAAATCCCACCTTCATTTAAGATTTCTAAAGACTTTTTAAAACTTTAGAAATCCTAGTTTATCTGTTTAGACCTTTTAAGACTTTTAAAATTCTTGAGGTATTTATTTGAGATTTTAAAAAGTCTTAAAAATTTTGAGGTATTTAACGTTAAGACTAAAATTTGTTAAGACTTTTCATGATTTGCTGCAATTTTAATATAAAAAACCTTATACGTTATCTCACCTTAAATCTCACATCCATACTTAAGATTTCATAAAGTTCCTCCAAAATTTATAAATCTAAAAAGTCTCAAAATATCAATCAGAATCTCAAATACACCTCCCCCCTTAAGATTTAATAGGATTCTTTCAAAATCTGAAATCTTAAAAAGTCTCAAATTTTAAAAAGTCTCAAAATGTCACTCGAAATCTCAACCGAATACACTCCTTTAGGACTTTTTAAGATTTGCTGACATAAATAAAATTTTATATAAAATCACACCTCAAATATTACCTCCACAATTAAGATTTTCAACGATTCATCTTAAATCTACAAATCTTAAAAAGTCTTAAATTAAAGAAACTCTTAAAATATCTCTTAAAATCTCAAAAGCATACACCCCATTAATGTATAATTAGTGATTGAACCTTTTTTAGAGGTTTGACCCATCAAATTCGATAATTAGCTTAGTTGTTAAAGTACTTAGTTGATTAATTTTTGGAGTTTTTTTCAATACAAGGCTTGAAAGATAGGTAAACTATCAAATCGGAGCCTAAAAGATTTCTTTTTTCAATTCGGAACCTAAATGTTATAAAACTATCAATTAAGTCCTAGAATTAACAAAACTCATAACACCAAATTGAGAGTTAATTTAAAACACCAAATTTGTTACAAAGTAAAAAAAATAAAGAAAATTAAGGAAAATACGAGATTGTTGGAGAAAATTAAGGAAAGTATGAAGCTCTTGCTCGGTTTTCTTGCTATCGTCTATTTCTGTTTTTTTTTTTTAAATATTATGTGAATGNACTGTAAATTTATAACTAGCTTACTTTTATCCTCAATTTAATGGTGTTATGGGTTTTGTTAATTCTAGGACTTATATGATAGTTTCATAACATTTAAGTCCCGAATTGAGAAAAAAATCTTTCAGACCATGATTTGATAGTTTATCCATTTTTCGGGTCTTCTATTGAAAAAACTCCTTAATTTTTTTTAACTTAAAACGCTATTTGGGGGGAAAAAAAAAGCACTCAATATATGAGCATTTTGATAAAAGTGAATTCGTAAACTGAAATACAAATATAAAATTTTCAAAGTAGTTATTTATCAAACAAATTTTTACAAGCACCTAATATTACAAAATTCGCTATCACCTAATATTTAAGCTGATACTAACCACATTAATGTTTTAGCATAATTCGCTCCTAATTATTCCATGCTTCATACAATCCAAATTTAGATATAAAATTTAATATTTATTTCTTTCATGATTTTCAGATTCTCCCTAATTAAATTATATTCCTTTTTGGGCATCTACGTAATTTCATTCACATTTTTTCGATTTGAAATGGCATTTCGTTTTGGTGAATAATTATAATATTTCGTATTGACTTTAATTGATTATAGATAACTTGAATTAATTATAGTTAATAACAGGTAATATTTACTTATGTTTTATTGGCTTTTACTGTTTTATTGTGTTATAATTTTCCATTCATTAAAAGTATATTTTCGTATTAAAAGAAAGGAATAAAAAAAAGAAGGATGAGAGAAGACCTTAGACTAACCTTGTATTTCTAATCAATTGAACTTTTTTTTTATCATTTTATTATTAAGTCTATCAATAATAATGTTGAGGCAAAATTTCAAAATTGGTCCTATAACTTGGCCACTGTCCAAAAAACCACCTCGATATTGACTACTTTCAATTTAGGTCCTATAATTTGTCGATTTCATCAATTTTGGTCCTTTTTATTCGCACCCTGGATTAAAAAGTAACGTGACATGACGTGTCAGTTTTTTAATGTTATATGGCGTGATTATGATCTACGTGGCACGTCAATTTTGGTCCTATAATTTGTCGATTTCATCAGTTTTGATCCCTTTTTCATGCCACGTCACTTTTTAATCCAGGGTGAGGATAAAAAATGACCAAAATTGATGAAATCGACAAATTATAAGACCTAAATTGAAAGTGGTCAATATCAGGGTGGTTTTTTGGACAGTGGCCAAGTTATAGGACCAATTTTAAATTTTTGCTATAATGTTGAATAGAAATAACTAGAATCCAAATAAATACTTTATTTTTATATTACATATTTTACATTACTGTTTATTATAGTGATTTTGTAAAACAAAAGTTACACAATTTTTCAACTCGGATCGATCCGGGTGGGTGCTTTGAACCCAATCAATCGTGCCTTGACCCGATCACAACCCCTGTATTTTTTTTAAGAAAAAAATATTTGTTATTATAAAAATAAAACGTGTTTAAATATTGATATATAGATATTTATTATAAAATACAATATTATTAACACTTTCATGTACATAACTTATACATAGTGTATATTTATATAATTTATATAATTTTTAAATTTTAATATATTAGTCCTTATGTTATTACCGAACGCTATGAGGATGATTGGATATAAAAAATTTTGGTTTTGTTTGGATTTTTTTGTTTGGTTTGGTTAATTTTGAAAAAGTTGGTATGGTTAGTTGTTAGTGGTATATTAAATAATATTTAAAATAAAATGATTAAAATTGATTTGATGTAAAGTAGGTGAGAGAAAATTTGAAGTGATGGTTAGTTAAAATTATGTGAGTGGATGAATAGTGAATTAAGGTTAGGTGGTGTGTAAGAATGATTGATTGATATTATTTAATTATATTGATAATATTAATGATAGTGGGGTTGAGTTAAAGTTGAGTTAAAAAAAGTGGTTGAGTTAAAAATGTTTGGATTTTTTTGAAAAATTTTGTATCCAAACATGCTCTATATGTTTATAATTTTATTTTCTTATTTATGTATTATGTTATGTTGGCAACTTTGTTTTCGTTCTTATGATAAATAAATGATTTTAAAGGCAAAATTCATAAACATTTAGGCTATTTAATAAAAAAGACTAAAAGATAAGAAGTAATAATATTAAGATAAGATCCACATGTGATAGGATCACGTGACCTAACATAATTAGGCAGTTCGGGCAGTACGAACGGACAGTCCGGACAGCGCATTCGAACAGTGTTAGGCAATAATGTATAATCTCCCTATATAAAGGAGTGAAGTATATATGTCCAATGTTATATTACATTATCTATATACTACTTACATATTGTTCATCGTATTCTACATCTTGCTAACTTCAGCATCGTGTTCCTAATTCTCTTTTAAACCAAATTTTAAGTAATTACAAGAAAAACAATTTAAAACTACAAGGGGGAAAGGAATTCAATAATCAAACAATTATTTAGATTTTTTTTCTCATAAATTATTTTCCGATACATATATCATATCAATCAACACAACCCAACTTCACCAAACTTGTGTATAGAAATAGAATAGTATAATTTGTTACTCCCAATCAAATCTTTTCTTAGAGGACAAATAAATGCCATCAGTTTTTGCTACCCAATAGCAATAATGATCATAACAAGGCTTTCCATACCACCATGAAGCCTTGTATGCATCAAAGGACTTGCCCTTATCGCCCCATTGAAACCGGCAATGAAACAAAGTTGAGAAAGGTTTCAGGCAAAAAACAATGCGAAACCCTTGCTCGTAATTCAACGTATGTGTTCCGAGATCGTCGTCTTTGGACATACAGTGGACGAGCAATGGAGTCGAAGGGGTATTTATGTCATTGTCTATATTAACTTGGACTCGGGTGAACCAGAAGCAGCTGGACCCGAACTGGAAAAGATATGCATAAAGTATCAAACATGTTAGTAGATGTTTCGTTGTCATGTTGATGGACAAAAAAAACTAGTGCTTGTGTAAAAGAATTGGTTTGATCATGTGGTTGATTTATGAAGTGTTGTGCTTATTTTTGTAATTTTTTTTTATTTTTATTTTTTTTTTTTNCATTGTTATTAATTTATAAATTGAGGAACAATTATGAGGTAAATTAAGCTTTGCAATCAGATTGTGATTTTTTATTCTTATATGATTTTTGCAATCTGGATTTATTTTTATATTTAGTTTTTTTCCTTTTCCTAATTGCAATCTGATTGTGTTTTACTTTGAACATTTAACTAATTGGAATTATAATTTTTTAATTACTTAATTTCATATGTATTCATTTAAAAACGTGTTAAGTTTAAGGATATAGGCTGTGAATGGGTATTAGTGGTTTAGAAGTGTATTCATTTGGGATTCTTAAAAATTTGTTGAGACTTCAAATGAGTTAAAATGAGTTGTTTTGAATAAAGTTGATTGAGTGTGATGAGATAGATTAAAATTAAATAATATTTAAAACGTATGCTTAAGTTGATGGGGTGTAAAATTATGAAAGAGATAATGAAAATGATATGGTTAAAAATATATGAGTGAATGAGTAATGGATGTTATATAAGAGAGAGATGAGATGATATTATTTAATTATATTGATACTATTGAGAATAGTGAAGTTGAGTTAGGTTTTGAATTAAAGTGGGTAAAAAATAAATTAATCAAATCATGATCGATTAAAATCACTATTAACCATCAACCAATCACGCCCTTAATCATTACTCATTAGACATCACTATCTTTTTTTAAGGAAAAAAAAAATATATATATATATACATATATATTATAAAATATCATAACTTTGTTTATATTTTATTTTAGAGTAATGCTACATTGTCAACCTATTATACAACTAGGTTGACAACACAAGTGAAAACATTCAAAAAAATAAAAATAAAAAAATACACAAGTGGATGTTTTAAAAAAATACACAAGTGGATGTTTTCACTTGTGTTGTCAACCTAGTTGTACACTAGGTTGGTAATATGACATTTTTCTTACCTATTAATATATAAAAAGACAATGATATTTACTTGAAATAGCAACTAAAAATCAGCAAAAAAATATTTCATTTCTCGCCTAAAGTATTTACTATATTGAGTAATATTTTTAGCCAAAAATTGAAAAATCCCGCCTAAATTAGTGTAATTAATGTACAGAATCATTTTGGTCAAATATTGCGGCTATTACCTTTATTAGTTGCATGATTTAAATTTAGAATATAATATATTGATAAAACTTGCAGCTATTACCTTTATTAGTTGCATGGTTTAAATTTGGTATATAATATATAAAAAAATAATAAGATTCTTATTTAAAATTAAAAATTAAAAAATAATTATTCATAACTTACGGGTCAATATTAAATTGGACGTAAACGAAATAGTCAATTATTTATAGTTTAGTAAATTACTCAACTACTTAATCTTTTTTATTCGAATAGTTTCTATAAAAATAAATTATTTTAAGTAATGAAACAATATAAATATTATATCTATACTTATTATTCACATAGGTTGTTAACTATATGATAACATTTTACCAAAATAACTATATTATGAAATCACATTATGGTCAAATTGAATTTTTGAATAAAAAAATTGAAATGATACTTATTTTGAAACGAATGTAATGTAATTTATTATCAGTTATGTGCACCACACGAGTTGTGTACTAATTTTAAATAGACATTTTTATGTAATTTTGTACAATTTAAACTTTATATAACATTTTTAATAAATTAGTATAGATAATTGTATTACATATTGATTCCATATTTTTAATTTATAAATATTACTTAATATGAATTTTTAATTTGTAAATATTATTGAATAACTCTTACCCGTGCACTGCACGGGACTCATACTAGTTTTAAAGTATGACATTTGAGTATGAAAGTTTGTACATTTATTAGCATAATATGACTGTTTAACCATGAAGCAATCTAACACAAGATCTACCGAAGGACGAATGATATGTATATATATATATATATAGTCATTCCATCAAACAAATTATCAAACAAAAAATTTCATATCACACCCAACACCATGATTAAGTACCTTATCTTATTATCTTTCCTCATTTCTGCACAAGATCTTTTTCACAAGACTGATGGTTGTCTCATTAATAAGTTATTCAAAGTTCGTGTTACACTAGTCAACACTATTCCAGTCGACTCGGTTTCAATGCATTGCTGGTCCAAAGACGACGATTTGGGAAACCGCGAGTTGGCGAGCAACCAAAGTTGGGGCTTCAGTTTCTGCTTGAAGCCCTTTTCAACTTTGTTTGCTTGTCATCTTCATTGGGGTCGGGCTCAAGTGGCTTTTGATGTTTATGATGCTAAATGGGTTCTCTTACCCTGTGAGGATGATAACCACTGTACATGGACAATAGATGAATCAGGTGTTTCGCCGGCCAGGGGTACAAGATATATTCATGCTTGGCAATACTAAATTACCATCTAGAATTGGATCAAACTTGTGTGTGTGCTTAGTCTATATATGTACTTGATTTATGGAGAAATAGATGCAAGCTTTTTTATTTTTGGTTGTTTTGAAAGAATTGTAGTTTATATTCTCTTTTTTTTTTCTTAATTCCAAATTTAGGAACCAATTTTAAAGAATAAAACTTAAAAAATCAAAGTACTAATTTCTTTTAGAAAGATAAAGTTATTATATTTGCACTAGTACATTCTGGTGCGATATTGCACGAGTAAACGATATTAATGATTTATTTATAAATTTAATATAGGGTTGCAACTACAGAGTTTATCACACATGAATTATTTGTTGAAAAAGTATTACCACTATTATTCTTATTATAATAATTGTTTAGGAAATTTAAAAATTTTTCATGTCATTAAAACCAATTATCTCTTTGAAAAAATGGTTAATGAGATAAAAATAGAAAGCTAATATTATTTTTAAAATAAACAGCTTGAAGAAAAAAAATTACTATGAAAATTTTTGTTGGCATCTAACTTCCATAAACCTTTTAGTATGAATAATAACTAGTATTCGTCCTTGTGCACATGCACAGAGACAAATAAAAATTTACAATATTTAAAATTTTAAATTAGATAATGGAAGTATTACATTTTAAAATTTTTGACTATACACAAATGTACAATATAAATATAAATCATTTAACTTGCATGTGAATCTTTATATTGATGACATAAATTTTAATGAACAATGTAATTTTGTAATTTAGAGAGATCATACGATTAATTAGTTAGAAAAAGTGTTACAACTATTTTTAGTGTTGTTATAGTAATTACTTATGTAATTTTAAGGAGTTTAATTATAGTACTCGTGTCAAGTTAATATTAGAGAAAAACCACTTAATAAGACGAAAAATAAAATTTATTTTAGAATAAGTATCTTAATAAAAAAAGTTGCAATGCAATTTGTTATAAGTATGTAAATTTTACATACTACAACAACAACAACAACATAGCCTTTAGTCCCAAGCAAGTCGGGGTAGGCTAGAGATGAAACCCAAGAGAAACACAAAAAGACTCGAACCAAAAGGAAGAGATAAAAAAAAAACGAGAGAGAGAGAGAGAAAGGAGCAAAAGTCACGGTTCTGGCACGTTGATAGCGAGCCTCCAAGCGCTCCTATGTAATAAATTATATAATAAATTAGTTTAATGTAAATTTATAATTAGCTAGTATTTAGTAGTAATTAATTATTATATAATAAATTAGTTTAAATTATTATTATTCTTCATTAATGTATGATGTAACAGTTCCACATTAATTGAAAAAAAAACAAAGGTTTTTGAGCGCGAAAAAGAAAAGAGGTTTTATTAAATGTTTTATTTATGGATTAGCCAGCAATTATATATATAGATTAGCTAAAGTTATTAGTAATTATTGTATGATATCGTGTTAAAAAAAATATTATTACACTTAATTAATGCAGAATGTAACAATTACTTTTCACAACTAAATAAACAAAATAGAGTGAAATAATTTCAATATATGTATTAATTGAATAATCTACAATTACATAGATAATATTACAACACATTTATTTATTTATTGTTTCCAAAACTAACACCACAAATTTTCTAACTTATTGCAATCTTGTTTGGGGGTAATAAGTTCATAAAAGCCATAATGAAGTGAGGATTTACACACATATATAAGGACGTAATATTAGACCAATTAGGTGGCGATTGATTGCGAGTTAAAACTGACTGTAATGGATCAAAATTGAACCATGAGTTAGAATGAGTTATTTTGAATAAAATTGATTGAGTGTGATGAGGTGATTGCAATTAAATAATAATAAAACGTAATGATTAAAGTTGAAGGTGTGTAAAAGTATGAGAGAGATGATGAAAAATGATAGGTAGTTAAAAATATGTGAGTGAATGAGTAGTGAATTAAAATTAATGTGATGTAAGAGAGAAATAAGATGATATTGTTTAATTATATTGATACTATTGAGGATAGTGAGTTGAGTTAGATTTTGAGTTAAAGTGGGTAAAAAAACTAATTCAATCATGATCTATTAAAATCGATTTTAACCTGCAACCAATCACGTTCTTAATCATTAGGCATCACTATTCTTCTTTTAAGTAAAAAATGTATATTTATGTTATAAAATATCATACTTTGTCCATATTTCATTTTAAAATATGACATTTGAGTATGAAAATATGTATATTAATCAACAGAATATGATTGTTTAACCATGAAGCAGTCTAACACAAGACCTACCGAAGGACGAATGATATCTATATATAGTCACTCCATCAAACAACTTATCAAACAAACAAACAAACAAAAACTTCATTTCACTCCCAACACCATGATTAAGTACCTCATCTTATTATATTTCCTCATTTCTGCACAAGATCTTTTTCACAAGGCCGATGGTTGTCTCATTAATAAGTTATTCAAAGTTCGTGTTACACTAGTCAACACTATTCCAGTCAACCCACCGGTTTCGATGCACTGTTGGTCCAAAGACGACGATTTGGGACACCACAAGTTGGCGAGCAACCAGAGTTGGGGCTTCGGTTTCTGCTTGAAGCCCTTTTCGACTTTGTTCGCTTGTCATCTTCATTGGGGTCGGGCTCATGCGGCTTTTGATGTTTATGATGCTAAGTGGGTTATTTTACCTTGTGAGGATGATAACCACTGTACATGGAAAATAGATGAATATGGTGTTTGGCCAGCCAGGGTGCCAAATATATTCATGCTTGGCAACACTAAATTAGCATCTAGAAATTTGATCAAACTCGTGTGTGCTTAGCCTATATATGTGCAAGATTTATGAAGAAAAAGATGCTAAGTTTATTTTTGGTTTTGGTTGTTTTGAAAGAATTGTAGTTCATATTCTCTNAACTTTAAGAAAAAAAAAATCAAAGTATTAATTTTTGTTAGAAAGATATGCATTAGAAAATTGGTCCTCCAAGCTTTCTAATGACACCTCTCAATAAAAAATCGGATATCTTAATTATCATAAAACTTGAATTGAATTTTTTTCTATACACACGTGCTCCTACTATCTTCGTCGATCGATTATAAAGGTGTCAATTTTCAGAAACCGACAAACCATACCTCATTTTGTTCGTCTCGCCATGTTCTTTAAAAGCCCTAAATCAATTTTAAAGATCATTTTAAAATTTATCGTTAATTGAGTTAAAAACGATTTGTGCCATATTAGGATTTTCAATCAAAGAGGCAAATTATCAGTTTCGATTACTATGGGGAGCAAATTGTCAAGAAAAAAGAGTTCGTAAGTCAAATTCTAAAAATCGACATAGTTTGGGAGGTAAAAAAAAAAATTCCTAAATATTATGTGAAATTTTTCATAATTTTATTTGTTACTACAAAAAGATAATTTGGTAGCCGTAATTTTTTTTTCTTTTAAGTATTGTTTATTTTTCATGAAAAATTTTTAATAATTTTTTTATAGATTAATTTTGGTTTTCAAATTCCATTAATTGTCTGTAATTATAAAAATAACATTTATATAAAACAATCTATTAACTTCCCTAAAAGTATTAGAAAAACTAAATTCGGCACTTTTATTGATTTTTGCGAGATTCCTCAAATTGGATTAGAAGAATTTATTTATTATTATATAATTATAATTGTAATAATTTATCTTAAGTTATATATACGATTTTATTGCATTTTGTTCGAATGTATGAGTTATTTTTAATGTACTTTCTTCATCATAACACTATTCGCTTGTGATATTTAATAGTATATATATAAAGGCTTGCTCAAACAAAAACTAATTCTGGTGTAAGAACCGTGATAATCATATTTAATGTCATTTTTAATTGTATATGATGCTATTTTTAATATTAGATGATCCTATCATTTTCACAAATGCTAATATAAATTGTGTTGCTATTTTTAATAAAATTTATTCTGGTTAAAAATAGCATCAAACATAATCAATCATAGCACTATGCACAATTAAAAATAGCGATTCCCACGGTTCTCACAATAAGACTTAGTTTTCATTTGAACCACATCCTATATATATAGGATGTGGTTCAAATATATATATATATATATATATAGTACATATTAATTATATTAATTAATAAAAAATATCTCAGATCAGTACTGACACATACTAGTATTGACATCATTGGATAAATTTCCAAAATTATTAATTAATTTAAAATCTAAAAAGTAATTATAGTTATTATGTTATAAATATATCTATGAATGTAAAAACAATAACTAATTTGTCTTTAGTTTAAAATTTAAAATCTTAATATATTGTCTTTTTTTAAAAAAAAAAAAAATTCCTACATAAAAATATCTATGAATGTAAAAACAATAACTAATTTGTCTTTAATTCTAAAGTTTAAAATCTTAATATATTGTCTTTTTTTTTAAAAAAAAAATCCTACATGAATTAAAAATCATTTTTATTTAATGATATTAAACATGATAATTAAGAAAAAAAAAAAAACATCTTTCTTTAACCTGGTTCACTGAATTGGATCGCTACCAAACTGACTAGGCCACTTCTAGAACATTTGTAAAACAATATAAAAAAAATATGACACAACTTGGGTTGAATCTGGAATGATCATGTTATAATTCAACTTGATCAGATCAAATGGGGTGTTAAAACTAAATTGAATTACAATATTAGAAATACTTTATTACGATAAATATAATGTAGCTCAAATTCTCAAATCAAAAATACTTCATGAGACGATGTCCAACAATATATGATTTTTATATCATGTATTTAATATATATTAAAAAAATAATAGAGTATTATAAATTTTAATAATACATGCTAAATTGTGAATCGTGTTATTTATATATTTAATTTATATTACAACTTTAATATTGTTTCCATGCGCATCGCAGTACTGATTTTTTTTCCAAAACTAACATCACAATTTCTCAACTTATTGCAATCTAATTTTGTGGTAATAGTTGATCCATATAATGAGGTTCACAAAAGCCAAAATGAAGTGAACACTCACTCACACACACTTATATAAGGACACAAATAGTTGCTATTTACTTATATCATATTTCAGTATAAAAGTATATATATATATATATATATATTTGTTTGAAGAATGCGATTATCTAACCATTAGGCAATTTAACATATAAGATCTAAGGAGTCATTTCATCAAATAACTTCTCAATAAAAAAAAAAAAACAATACCATGATTAAGTACTTCATCTTGCTATCTTTGATCTTCATTTGTGCACATGATATTTTCCCCAAAGCCGAGGGTTGTATCAAGTTTTTCAAAGCTAATGTGACGATCGTCAATGATATCCCTAGAGGTTATTCAAAACCGATTTTTGTGCGTTGCAAGTCCAAAGACGATGATCTTGGAACCCACTTGTTGAGGACTGGCCAAAGTTGGGGCTTTAAATTCTGCGTGATACCCTTCTCGACTTTGTTCTCTTGTGGCATTGAGTGGGGCAGTCAGTTTCATGTGGATCTTAAGGCTTATGATGCTAAGTGGTTGTTTGTACCATGTGAGAATAATAGGCACTGTACATGGACAGCTGATGCAAATGGTGTTTCATCCAAGCGTGGTGAATTCCATCCTTGGATAAAATCTTGAATTGTATCAAACTTGTGTGTGCTTCTATGTTTATCAAGAGTTGTGAAGAAATAAATTCAGGTTTCTTTTTTGAGGAAAAGAAAAATTTATTATAGTTTTCCTTTGAGTATTTTTTCTTTTTCTCTAATCCAAATTTGGAAACCAACTAAAATAACATCCCAAGAGTACCAACGATGTATTGAGTCCAATTTTACATATGTAACATATATATGGACTTAAACTCTAAATAACATGGACAAACATAAGTTAAAATAAAAAAAAATAAAAAATAAACCCAAATGCTATCCAGCCTGTCATCCAATAAAAAATGGTGTAATATGTTTTCTCTATTAAAAGAAAAATTAGATTTATAATAAATATTGGCTGTTCAGGTTTGTATATGGGTCCAAAATAGACTCAAGAGTAGACTTAGTCTCATTTTCTTATTGCCACATAAGTTAGACCATGTCAATTTATTGAAAAATATTTTTTTATAGACTATGTTTATTTCGTACATGGCTATGATATTTTTTCAAGAGATCCAAAACATTGAGGTGTTCTTAGCATCTTCAATGTCCAATGCTTTAGTGTTGTTAACAAATAAATTAATTTTAACAAATGTATTGAAATTTTTCAGATTCATATATCAAAATATAAAGAATTTTACCTATCAAAATTTTTTTCTCCTAAAATTCAAGCCAAAATAGATTAGGTAACTTCTGAAGAAAATACATAATAATTAACCGAATCTTTTGAAATTTCATTCAATTCAGAATTTATCTATCATGTTTACCTTACATGAACATGCATTTTAGAATTTCATATCAAATATAAAGAACATACCTTATAAGAAATTTTTCTCCTAAAATTTAAACGTTACAAATTAAGTAATTTCTAAATAAAAATACATAATAATTCACCAAATTTCTGAAAATACATGCAATCACGATTTATCAATCAGAATTTACCAAACATATACATGCATTTCTGATAATTACATGCAATCATAATTTAACAATCCGAAGTTACAGAATTTACCTATTAGAAAATTTTCTCCTAAAATTCAATCCATAACATATTAGGTAATTTTTTTAAAAAAAAATATATATACTAATTCACCAAATCTTTGGAAATTAAATGATTCTAGAATTTACTTATAATAATTTAATTATCAGAATATATTCTCTCAAAACTCATTTATGAAATATTTACCTTGTATATTTCTTAGTCGTACTCAAATGATTTGATTAAATTAACTTGGAATAATAAACAAAAATTGATTTAAAGACTAAAAGAAAATGAATAATTAATACACAATATTGAAAATATGTGAAGCACGTTCTTATGATAAAATTTAAATATTATTGTGTGTAATTACGATACTGTTCAATTTGTTGCACCACATGAATGGTTGCTGCCATTAACACTAAATCTGGTCTATTTTTGTAATAAAAAAATAAAAAAATAAAGCATAATTGAACAGTAACGTCTTTAAGCGGGAATTGCCAGCAATTATATTTTAGAAATATATATATTATGCATTCTAGAAATATTTTAGTACTATTTTCAGAAAATTGTATTAACATTAATTATGTAAAGCTCAGCTGAATAAAGGTGGATTGTTTGTATAATTGTCATAAACTGTTTCGCTTAAATATTTGTTAATATTCCAATAACAAATAAATAAAATCGTAAAATACGGAATATTCCAATTTGTTTG